TTATAGAGCAGCACAGAAAAACAAACAAACAAAATCAGTATTAAAACAGGCCCAGGGGTAACTTCCCTGAAGGAGCTTTCTTATATGGAGACTACTCAGTGAGGTTTGTCCTTAGTTATTTCAAAACCACACCCTTCCCACCGTTTCATTCACACAGTTCTGTGATATGCACTTTCTCTGACTAGACTCCTTGAAATCCAGCAGCTGACATCAGATGTAAAATTTTACACACAAAAGGCAAAACATAAATATCACCTGCTAAAACAAAACTAGATCGATCCATTAAAAAAAACATGTGACACCTCCCTGACTGAAATATCACCTGTATAATTTTATTTTGCTTCCATCTCTAAGCTCTTTAGCATTTCACCAAAACAACAGAGAAATACTGATCATCCAGACAAACATACCACAGTGGGGGCACGACTAGTCCCTTTATACAAGTGGTCGTAGCCCAAGTAGAGGACTAGGGTGGCAGTGCTGTAGAGGAAGGCCAGCACTCCAATACAGACGTAAAACTGTGCCGATGACGCGTGGTCTCCAGTCAGGTAGTAAGCAGTGGTAGTAGTCTGATTGGCAATACAGTCAGGAACATTATATGGATGCTCCATCAATCTATGTAAACACAGAAAATATTTCTAATCATCACCAACCTAAAAGTAAACAGCACTTTTAAGTAAGCCGTTCCTCATACTAAAGAGGTGTGACACTGTTTGTGTTTGCTCACACACCTGAATGGGTAGTTAAAGTGCGTGTGTATTTCTTCACTGGCATTCCCACTGCACTGGACATTGAAACTGCTTGTGCCGATGTAACCTCCAGTCGTAGCAAAGGCAAATATGGAGAACAGCTGCAACCACAGACACAAGAGATAAGAGGGGACACGTTGCCATAAGGATGTGCAGGGCGTGTTGATCAAACCGTTACGCATACACTTCCCTTTATTTTATACAACACACTCTTGACAGGAAATCCGTCTTAATCACATGATGCAATCACTCCAAAGGTTGTACAGAATTCGCAGAAGCAACACGGAGAATACAATGTTTTATCCTAAAGTAAAACCACACATAACAATACTGCCTGTAAGTAAAAGCAGGTATATTGCTATACATTTGACAAGCCGAGTACTGACCTTAACAGGAGTAACCACAAAACTTTTGAGTATGCTACTGCGGTTGCTGAGCATGCAGACACACACACACCAGCTTTCTGACATCTCATAATGAGCTGAACAGATCGAAATAAACCGGCAAACACTCCATAAATTGTTGTACACACACAGTAGACCTACTGGAATCGGCTCTAGGGATGTTTTGCATTGCTTCGTGCAATGGGTCATAGACAAACAACGCAATGTAAATGTAGCCTAACATATTTCCTCTACCAAAGATGGACCGCTCATGTAAAACACGCCCCGCCATATGCTAAGAAACATTTGGTAAAAAAAAAACAAAACTTACCCATTCTAGCAAACGCATAAATGCCAAAGGCTCTTTCAGGGGTCCCAAGTCAAGACTGAAACCCGAAGTCAACACTTTCTGTTGAGAAACAAAGTTGCAACACTAATTTGACAAAGAAACTACAGCCAAAGAGGTAACACACAAATGGGTGTGTTGCTTAAAAAGTGAACAAACATAATGCGTCTTTAAACACTTCCCCGGTCAGCGCCGTTACCTGAGTGAGAGAATCCATCGATAAAGATCGATAATGTTTGCTCGTTTCCTGGCTTTGTTGCAACTTCGTCGTGTTTCCCTCGACGCTGTCAAACTTTTCTCCAACCCCAACGAATCGTAGTAGCCTAGATAACACGTGATTACTGACGTTATAGCGCCGAGCGGGGGCGCTGTCGGGGCACAGTGATCAGCTACATCCGCCTAGGTAGCTACTCTACAGAGCATTAGGTCAATCTTTATGTTCATTTCAAATCAGTTTGTGGTCATTTTACATGTCTGTACAGTTGTTTGCAGTGTCTTCCCCGTGTATAGTTGTATTTGTATAATCCTCTAAATGTGTCATCTGCACTGTATTTAAGTAAAGGCCTATTTACTACTGGAAGTTACATTCCTTACATGTCAACTGTGTCAGTTTCTCCAGACTCATTCAGATTCTTGTATAGGAATAAGATATGCCTGTACAGTTTTTTGCAGTGTTTATCAAACATAATGGATTTTAATGGCCCCGAGTACCTCAAGGGCCTCAAAAGGCCCAGGTTCACTGCATGCCCATTAGTTGCACATAACTTGATTAATTTTTCTAAGAATTTACAACACCAAGTTACAGTCAATGCTCTGGGAGAATACAGTGAATGCACAGTAATGGTAAATTCCACTAGATGTCGCCTTTTCCTCAAATGCTACGTGAACATAATTAAAGTACACTTTAAGTCATGTGCTTCTCCTGACTCCCACCAGTCAATAAGTCTGGCCTTGTAATTCCCTTAATTTCGGTCAATGGAGATGGTCATTTTTGGGGTGGTAAGCAGGGAAATTTAGGTACACTTTGTTGGACCCCCATTCTTTTCACCACGTTAACTCTGAGAGACGAAACAGTCCGAGTAACTTCAAAACAGTGCTGATTTATTCAATGATCACAGGTAAAATTAACATTACACGCTCAGGAGTCTTTGCACCTCCAACATGCATGCAGGCAGCTGGAAGATGGAAAGCCCCGAACCATAACAGGCCTATACATTATATCACTTTGGGCTAACCCCATACTACTCAGGGATGCCAAACCGTGACGTCTCTGGTGCCAGCTGTGCAGCTGGCCATAGCAGTAGTCAAAGCATGAAGAAAATCTATGTGTGATTGTCTGTCGATTGTGTGGTGTGTATCTAAAACATTTTGACATGACATCTGGTGACATGTCATGACATTAAGCATAAGAAAATATTATGATTACGATTATGATTAAACACGTCATAATAATAAGAATAAACATTCTGTCTCCTGACAGTAATCAACTTTCTGTCTAGTTATCTTTGAACATAAACAACCTGGAGTACCCCATGGGAATGACTAAGCATTTAACAGCCTGAGCTAGACATCCTGTATACACTAAACATTTCTAATACATGAAGTGTCTAACCAATGTCTATCTGACTAAAAATACCTAACAGTAATTTCTCTTAAAATATCAGCACGCCATACTGTCAGTCAAGAGGATCTGGCTTCATGTAGAAAAGCACAGTTCTTAGTGTAGAGTATGTCTCTAAGGAATAACAGTAGCTTTGTTTTCCACCTTGTAATAGTAGATTGGGCTGCCATGGGGGAGGGGCTGCAACTCCATTGTACAGTATTTTTGTAGAGGAATGCTGCTCTACAGATCAGTGTTTGACTGTCTAACCACATCCGGGGATCATGAAACACCCAACAAAAAGTAATAGCCTACACAAAAAGGATATTCCTGATGCTCCCAGACACATTAATGTTTAGAAATGTGGCTTCGAATTTAAGGTATCAGAAGCTTTTTATTTTTGCTGTGATGGGATTACACCTTATTTGTTGTTGCAAGGTGATAAAGTTGTTGGACAGGTTGTGCTACACCAAAGGTTGAACATAAGAATGAGCAAATACTCAGAATGGCTATCTTATCTTTTATATTAGAGAGTTTCAGTTATCCTGCAGGTAATTAATTACATCTCATCCTGCCCAACTTAGATGTTTATAGAAGACATGACCTGGATCCTGACAAGGAAAAAAAATCCATTTTGTTAAATTTGTATCACAGTTTGTGGTTTGTAATTTGACTCTTTTCAGCCAGGCCCTTGGCAGCTATGAGTACAGAGATGTTTTATTTCCTGTAACACATGACCAGTGGTCATGGGCTTGTTCTGACCCACTGTCCCATCACATGCACAAACATAATCAGGAATACAATATGATACAGTGCAAGTGAACAAAATAAATCAATAAAAATTGACAATATGGCAGGTTGTAAAAAAAACTGTAGATCGTGTTATATTTAATTGCCAACATGGCCCTATTTCACATATTTTAATTGTATTTATTTCTGTACATGCTCAGGGGATATAGAATCAAACATAGAATTATTATTATTGTAGATATTCATTCCTATAAATAAAGGTTACTGCAAAGCAACTTCTGAAATCAAAACATGTTTTTGTCACCTGTTAGTTTTCATTTGTGTAAAAATAAAACAAATTTTTTAGTTAATCTTTATTTTTTTGTTAATGAATTTAGTCTTCCTTTCTGAGTGACAAAGCCTGCTGGCTGGACTAATGGGGCCGAGCCAATTAATCATAAAGCAGCAGTAAAGCATTAAGGTACAATGCCAATGCCTTCACTGTGTGTGTAATATCATTGTCTGCTTTGAATGATAACCTACATGTATATACATAACTCTTTATTTTACCCGAAACAGAAAAAAGCAAGTTTTCTGATTTAAATGATGTTATAGATGGTGTTATCGCTTACGTGACAGTATTGCTCAACCTACCTTGACAGGCTTTGCCATCTAATTACTATATTTGTTTATTGGTACCGCCTTCTAAGATTTCAACCAATAAGCAAAGTGGATAAGTGACCTATTATAGAAGATCAGCCAATCAGAGCGTACTCTCTCCGCACTGGGCATTACCACCCACTAACACACCTGCTTGGTAGTTACAGTGTATCATGTAGGCACAGGTGTCGCACCGCTATTAATTGCTTTTAAGTACACCGGGGAATTTGCAATACTGTTATTTCCCCCCCCGTTTTGATATTTTGCAGCAACTGCGTTTGGAAATAGTCGGATATTTTAAGGAGTTCCGTGTTTTCAAAGACCAAAACTGTCGCTGTCAATAGGACTAGTGCTTTGTTTATGTCGTCCGCGGCAGAGCTGCAGCGATCTTCAATTTCTAGTTTTAGTGGTGCGGTGGGTTTCACTTTGTTTGTTTTTCTTTGCCGGTAACGAGTATGGGACTTCTGTTGCACTGGGTCTTGCTGCTATCTGTTTCCACACTGACAGACAGTTTTGATTTTCAACTGGGATCCAAACCCGTCGCACATCCGGCTTTTGTGAAGCAGTCAAACATTGAAGAAAAAGCAGCCAAAATCGTAAAGAGGTGTCTGTCTTCCTGGCTGGCTCCATCACTTAATCACAAGATTAAACGGAGAAGCCCCGAGCTGGGCGACTCCTGCAAAGCTCTACAAGGATACGAGACCAAGTTAACAGCCAACACCCACCCTGTAAGTTACCAACAGAGGTCCTGTTTCACTTTTAACCTCTGACAATTAAATGAGCCGAGAGAAGGTGATGAGCCTGTGCACGAGCAGGTGCACGAATATCAGCTGTTCAGTGCACTCAGAAACCTAGCTGCTGACTGCTGTTTTCCATTCACTTGAAAGACCCGAAGCTCGTGAAAACGGATAGGTGTAGATTTCATTTCCTTGTTGCAAAACGCAGTCAGTCTACATTTTGTGTTATCATATAATGAGGCAGACTATAGGTTTAGGTCTTTCCTGCACCTTTCTCCGAGCTTCAAAGAACCTTCTTGCCTTTTTGTTGGCGATGTTGATCATGATTTTAAGTTCTTTTTTTGGTGCAGTGAAATGTAGTGTGGTGAAACTATAGCAACACCTGTCTTCCTCATGCTTTAAGGCCTAGGCTCCACAAAAGCACTGCCAGACCGGTTCATTAATGCCCGTGATCTATATCTTTCTTATCACAAGTATGCAGCTGTAGGCTACCCTGTATATGATCCCACATCTTTGCCTCACTGAGAAGTTGGCCTGGGGGAAACCCATGTGACTGACTGACTGTGTGGTGGTTATTTTATAGCTAAAGCTGTGTTAGGAAACAGAAACTACTGTGTGAGTGTTTATACATATATACAGTATATCATCAGATGAGTAGACTAACACATTTCACAGTTTTGGCACAGAATTTAGCCAGGAAGAGAGCACAACCAAATGAATGCATCTAAAAATGTTTACGCATTTATGCAGTGCTGTTCTCAAAACAAAAAGGAGGCTGACTCTGCTGAAGTCCTGTGCTGCTTATTTGCCTAGCTCCTTATTGCCATGTGATCAGCCTTGCATTCTGCAGTCTCTAAATCTTTTGCAATTAAATTAAATCTGATTCTTGAGTTCAGTTTTATATGGTACTCAGTACTTGTATTCAGAAGTCTTTGTTGAGAGAAACTGGCTTGAAACCTTGTCTTGGCTGAAATCTGTCCTAATAAGCGGTACTTCACGTTTAACACTTTGTCTAGAACACATGGTAAGGGGAAACATGGTGCCAATCAAAGCTAAAATACAGACTGGAGGTGGAAATAGACTGACTGCACTTTAATTGTTTGTCTTCTTTGTCAACTAGGCTGAAATGGCTGTTGGTTATATAATACACTATCATTCATGTAGTGACATATTCATCAGCTGCTGCTTAGATTTTTAATGTTTGGTTTTTTTTATATAGATATGAACATATGTTTTACTATTTATTTTTTTAGTATACCTTCAATGACCTGAGTGGGTCAGTGTCTCTGGCCTGGGTTGGAGATGGCACAGGGGTAAGTGTTGAGCTCCATTCATAACATTGTTCTATGACCTGAGTAGGACAAACATATTGAGCGAAATGCGTAGGAGGTCTCTTGCACATTAAGAAATGATCCATGGTCCACTTTCCTAAAGCTGAACCACTCTTGGCAGGTCATCCTGGCTTTGACAACTTTTCAGGTGCCCTTCTTCGTGATTCTTGGGCAGTCCAAACTCTATCGAAGGTAAGTTTTATCACTGCACCTGTTTAAGAAAAAGTACATTGTTTGTGTTTGATTTGCATTTAATTTGGCTGTAACCATTGTCCGTTAGTGAGAACTATGGGAAGTCATTCGACGATGTGACTGACCTCATCAACAACACTTTCATCAGATCAGAGTATGGTATTGCTACTGGCCCTGAGAACTCTGGGAAAGTAAGTCATGACCTGATTAAGTCTTCACCACTCTTAAACAATTGTAGTCATCGAGAGTTCTCAGAATGGTAACACTGCTTTAATGTGTACCAATTGTGAAGAACCTTCACCATATTCTCTTAAGTGGTTCCATCGGTCTGAATGTTGGACTCTGGCTTGTAGGTGATCCTGACAGGTGAGGTGTCTGGAGGTCACTCGTCTCGGGTCTTTCTCTCTGATAACTTTGGGAAAGGTTTCACCCGCAAGGAACTGCCCTTCACCCTCAAGATGCAGATCATATACAATCCTGACAATTCCGAAATGCTGCTGGCCCTCAGCATCAATGTAAGTAATGAATGTCGAAGAACTATAACTTGTTTAGGAAGTAACCACTTTTGGATGTCAGTTAGCTTCAGAAAGAGAATAGTATAAAAATATCCTATATAAACTTGGAAGCTGAAGATAAATATGTGAGTGTAGTGTGTCAGATTTAGCTTTATATCATTGGTCATTTTTAATTTAAGCTGACAAGAAACCTTTTTCATGGCCTGTTTTAAAAGCCAAAAACTGTCATCTCACTTCCTCCTTGCAAGAATTCTCCTGTTGGTCAATCATTCTTTATGTATTTGTACAGAGTGCATTTATTACAGTGGTTGTGGTAGTTATGAGTGGCTCTGGTATCCCAAGTTCTGTGTGACCTGTGCACACAGTTGTGTTATTTCAGATTATGTGTGAGTTCATCATTTAAGAAATCACTCTTTTTTCCATCCTCAGAATGAACTCTGGCTGTCTGAAGATTTTGGCAACGACTGGAAGAAGATCCATGACATGGTGTGTCTGGTGAAATGGTAAGAGGCAAGATAAAAAGATTGTTAACGCCTTTGCCATGTGTGCAGTGAAGTGAGCAAACAGCTGTTATTCAATAGCCCCAAGTGTCTGTGTCTCACTGAAATATTTTTCAACCCTAATCTTGTAGGTCTGGCATGCAGCAAAGATTTCAACAAGTGAATTGCTATGTGTTAGACAGTTGTCCTTTTATTTAGTTGTCATTCCTGCAACAAGCTAGTTATCACCGGTAATGGAAGACAGTGTTTCACCTTTCTACACTGTGCTTCATTGGCAGTCGAAGCAAATTATGTTTCACTATGCTTTGACTTGTAAAACTTATGCTAGCTTGTTCTCTTTTACTCATAGCTAAAAGATTGTATTAACATTATTGGCCTGAGACGGTAATGTTCATAGGTTTTCTCTCAGGATTTTTATTGGTGCAGCAGCAGCAGCTTTGTAAAATGGGTAGTCAATAGGCCAAGCCTTTGCAGCACTCTTGTTGTTTTAGAGGCACTTCCTGGTATGTGTTGCCAAGTAACCTTGTCGGCTTTAAATATCATATTAGTTTCAGTTTAAAGGCAGGTCACTGTGTCTGTGGAAACTATACGAGTAAAGCAGTCTTTTTGAAACTTAATGTATCAATATACATTTCTGCTATTACTGTGTATTATTACTATTTCAAAACTCAGTACTTAAAGGAACGTACCTATTTATTTAGGGCACGGTGGTGTGCTATTTAATAAGATAAGTGATGTTTACTTTCGCAGTTGAGCAACGTTTAGTATTATAGGAATAGATGGAGAATATTTTAAGAATCCTGTACTAGACCCAGTTTCTTCCTTAGCACAGTAAAGCTCCTCAGCTTGGCCCAGCTTGACTTTGTTTTTTTTATTTTTTTTATATGTAAGCACACTGAGAACTGAAACATCCAGAGAATTGTCACATCTTTATCAACAAATCTGTATCTGCTTATCTGAAATTGTTGGTACTTTCCATTCTGATTACAGGGGAAGGAAAAACACCATCTTCTTTAGCACCAGCCTCAATGGATCATGCAGTAAGTCATCCCCTCTTTAAGTAAAACTCAAAATGAAAAATGATCATGTGTGACCTTACCCCACACCCACTTTGATTTAATGTATGTACATGTAGATTGCTGAGGAGCAGCTCATGGAACATAATGTTTTTTTGACATTTTCTCAAGATAGTTTGAAAGCTAACTGTCAACATGCTTTTATTGAAGTATTTATTTTATGCTAGATTAAGTGGATTTGAACTGGATTATGAATTTAAATGACAAATGGCATCAACATAATGGATGATCCTGGCCAGATGAAGCAAAGTATTTTGATTTACAGTTCACTCAGTTAGCAGTTTATTAGGAACATCAAGCTACAACAAAACTACAATCTCCATAATGATCCTACTGTTGAATCAACACCTCTCTAAAACATTGTAAATCAAAACTTAACACTGTCACCCTCATGAAGGGAAGAGTTATTGCAGGACTGTTGTATATGACTGCATTAGTTGTAGTTTAGCTGGGATTGGCTGCAGCCCCCTCCCGACCCTCTACAAGTTAGGTGGTGTAGCTGATGGATAGTTTTAGCTCGATGTACCTACAGTACTAAACTGCCAACGGAATGTGTATCTGTATTTTTATGGTTTACCCTTTTATTCCTCTTAAATGCTTTATGTAACCTAGCTTTTAGTTAGGCTTGTAAATTCATATATATTTGTTGCACTTTCATTTGCAAGTTGTTCTTTTCAGTTGAGCAGGGAATGCTGGAACTGAAGAGAACCACAGACTATGGTAAAACCTTCAAGACTGTCGCCAGCAAGATCTTTTCTTTTGGAATGGGTGGACGGTTCCTCTTTGCCTCTGTAATGACAGGCAAGGTCAGTATAGTTTCAGTCAAAAAAAATTCCAAAAATTCACACTGACGTCTAAATAGTGTGTGTGTGTGTGTGTGTGTGTGTGTGCGCATGTGCATTTGTGTCACTCGCAGTAAAGAAACTCCTTTTAAGATGATGAGATCTGTGTCAGTTGTGTGAAATGTAGGCCTCGATGATTCAGAACCATTGTTTTTCCTCATCATAGCTTTTTTTTTTTCTTTCTCCTTTTCATTACTTTACAATATTTTACTGTGCAGGGTACTCTGAGGATGATACAGGTGTCAGTGGACCAGGGTGAGACATGGGACACGGCCCAGCTGCCACCTGTTGGCCACGAGCAGTTTTACTCCATTTTGGCAGCGAACGATGATATGGTCTTCATGCATGTTGATGAGCCAGGAGGTCAGTTCATAAAGCAACTTCACATTCCCACATCTCCAGTGATGGGGAGAACAACCCTGAAGCCAGATTCCAAAATATTTAAAAGGAAAAAAAAACTTTCCATCTAGAGCAGCATATTAATGCTCATAGTTTTGCATAGGGCTGCCCTCTAACAGTCAGGCCTTTAGTCAAGAAACCTGTCAGTCGCCTGAGACACTTCTAGTTGAGCCTTTATTTTCATATTTTATCTTTTTTGTCAGCCAGTGCACATTACAATAGAAGGCCACCTCAACCTGGTAGCTTATTGTCTTCCTCTCCTCATTTTGGTGTACCAAGCAGCTATTTGCTCAGTACTTCCCCCTGTGGTCAGGGGAAATACCCACTTCCATGGTGGCACTATCTGGTCATGAATGTACATTAAGGTCGGATCTATTTAGAAAACTGCAGAATGAGGAGAAAAGGACAACAAAACCCACTAGCACAAGCCACATAAAGGTGAGATTTGTACTTTATTAGAAGAGTTTTCAAACATCGTGATCTAGTTTTACAACAGAAACGGCTGTCGTGATGATGTAGCTGGTTTTGCATTGCCTGTTATACGAGTCCGGTTTGTTTGCCCATCTTTGTTAAAGTGCAACACACAGCTGTTTACCAGCTGCTTCTTCAATGTGCATCCATCCAAACGGGACTAGGAAGCCAGCAAAAATGCACGGGGAAAACATTCAGTGAGGAATTATAAATAAGAGGAATCATTCTCAGTGCGACCTGGCACACGTCAAACGCACAGTAACAACATGCACTGTGGTCAAATGACATTAGAAGCTCAAACCTGTTGGTAATCTAGGCTTTAACTATATATCGTCAGTTTAAATAGGTCATTTAAATCTTCTATCGTGCAGCTTATTTTATTTTTAAATGATCAGAAATATATTCTTGTCACTTTTTTTGTATTTAAATACCGATGCTAATGTGGTCAAAATCATTAGTGAAATTCTTGCCAGTTGATTTTCTGACAGTCTGGGGAATGAATAGTCGCTCTGAAGAGTCGACTGACAAAATCCTTAGTCAGGTACAGCCCTAGTATTGGAATTCTTGTTCAAATACTGCATGCATACTTTTGGCCATGTATTGAATATGCACCAAATAAACTCCCTAAGCCTCTCTTTTGTGGGTTTTTCCTTGTCCACAGACAAAGGTTTTGGTACCATTTATGTATCGGATGATCGGGGAACTGTATACTCAAAGTCGCTGGAGCGCCACCTTTACACCAACACATGGGGCGATACAGACTTCACTAACATCACCTCCCTACGTGGAGTTTTCATCGCCAGTGTCCTGGATGAAGGTAACGCTGTTCATACACCTGTGCTTGGATTAAGGAATGGCAACACATGCCTGCACTCAGATTCCCCTAGAAACACTCATACATATGACTTCTCCATTACCTACCAGAGGGAGGGTGTTGGGTAAATATTTAATTAGTTCTCTAGTGTTAGGTGTGTTGTGCGTCTGAAGCTGCTGGCCGACATTTAAGCAGAATTACCTCACGGCTAACTCTCATTTCATCATCTCTTGGTTTTTTTTTTTTTGTTTGTTTTTTTTTTTTAAACATTTCCTTTTGTCTTCTTCTTTTGTAATCTAGTTTCTCTCACCTCCATTTTTTTTTTTTTAACATGATTGTGGTTGCACAGCAGTGTGGGTCTTACCTCTGCATTGTCTCTTTGCTTATTTGTAATTTTAGGGGTAGATAAATTCAAGCTTTATGTGCACACAATGTCAAATAATTGTTGAAAACTCTATGAAATGTTATGTACATGTCTTGTTGTTCCAGATGGCTCCGTGCGGTCTGTGGTGTCTTTTGATCAGGGAGGGGAATGGGTTCCCTTGAGGAAACCTGTCAACACAAAGTGTGATGCTACAGCCAAGGACCCAGAAAAGGTAAAGAGAGGAAACTGGTGTGTTTGGAGACAACATTAAGCTAAAAAGTTGAATGGTTTTGATTAAAAACATATACTTTTGTAAATTAAAGTGCCAGATTGTGTTCTATTGTTGAGTTTTGGATTGCAGTGTTATGAAGGCCAACTACAATATACTGTATGTGCCATAATTTTTGACAGTGTTGGTAATATAAACTGCCAAATACCAAGAGCTGCTTGTGTTTGTGCCTACAGTGCAGTCTCCACATCCATGGATCGTACAGCAATGCTATGAAGATAAACAGCCCCATGCTGCCTCTGACTGAACCCAGTGCTGTCGGCCTCATCTTAGCTCATGGTAATTCTCAGTTCAGAGCTTTCTTGTCAACATTTTTTTTTTTCTTCCTACAAACATCAAAATTTTGTGTGAGATAATCTGGAGGTTATTTGGATAAATGCAATTTTGTCATCTGACTATTTCTCTGTTTTAATCAGGGAGTGTTGGTGATGCCATCTCGGTGATGACGCCTGATGTGTATGTGTCTGATGACGGTGGGTACACCTGGATAAAAGCCCTCAGTGGACCCCATCATTATGCTATTCTGGACTCTGGAGGGCTGCTGGTGGCTGTGACATATAGTCCCACTCAACCTGTCAACCAGATCAAGTGAGCTGCAGTTAAAGGAAACTGAGTTTGACCTGTATCAGCTGATGTTGGGAAACATCTGTCCTCTATTAGTCTTCTTAATTAAATTTACACTCACTAATAGGTTGTGTTTTTTTTTTTTTAACAGACATTTTGACTTGTCACAGGAGAAAAAGCACAGGAGTTGCTGATCACATTAACAGCAACTCTTTTCCATTCATGTCCCATAAGTTATAATAGTGTGACCATGAGGCAGCATGAACAACACCAGGACCCTGAGAAGCAGCTAAATGGAATTCAGCCATTGTTAGTTTTATTGTTAATGCTGGTGCTTGTCCTGTGTGACATGTCAAAATATATTCTGTGAAAAAGACCAGATCTTCACCATAACAACAAAGGCTGTAGGATTTTTCTTTAGTGTTTCTGAAGTTTCCAGATTAATCTGCTACACAGGAACAAACCCTTTGTTTCTTTTCAATAAATCAGAACTATGTTTTTTGTATATATGTTTTTAGATGACTGAAATTTAGAACAAATCCACAGCTCAGAGGCTCATTGTTTTTAATACAAAATGGTAGTGATTGTATAAGACCAGTAGCTCAGTCATGTGCCTTCTTTACACTGTAGCCATGCAGAGATCTTATTCTGTACTCTCATATGTTTTGGCTATGCTGATATCTGCGCATTTGTCGATGACCGCACAGGTTTTCTACTGATGAAGGACAATGCTGGGGTGTGTACAACTTTACCAACGATCCCATCTACTTTACTGGGCTGGCATCAGAGCCAGGAGCGCGCTCCATGAATGTCAGTATCTGGGGCTACAGAGACTCTTTACTAGCCCAATACTGGATCTCCATCACCATTGACTTCAGGGAGCTTCTCACCAGAGACTGTGAGTAACATGATAAAAAAAAAAAAAGAAAAAAAAAGACTTCCTGTATATATGTAAATTTAGAGAGAGATTTTGTTAATGTTTCATTTGAGATTATGCATAAACAGTGTCCAAAATATTGATGTTTTAGGTGATGATTCAGACTATGTGCAGTGGTTGGCCCACTCTGATGACATCAGCAGCCCCAGCAATGGTTGCATACTGGGCTACAAAGAGAAGTTCTTGCGTCTCAGAAAGGATTCTGTTTGCTGGAATGGACGAGACTATCAGGTCACCACCCAGCCAACCCCGTGTCCATGCACCCTGGATGATTTCCTGTGGTAAGCTGATGGCAAAATATCAGTATTTAATTTAAAGTAATTTTTGGTGACTGAGAATTAAGAAATTTTGACTGAATTACTATTGAAAATTAGCTAGAAAATAAAATGTAAATTACATCCACAAAAAAAAAAGAAAATTGGCTAATTCAAATTTGAAATGAAAATCTGTTACTGTAGCTCATTCCAAAATGTTTACATACAGTAAACACAGTAACTTCAAGAAGGGCCCACATTAAACATGTCCAACTGGTGCTTATGAAAAGCAGCAGAAAAGTGTCCTGGAGTGGATTTATTCTTTACGTAAAAATGAACTCTTGCTTCAAAAAATAAAACTCAATGCATACTGAGCCAAACAACTGGCCATTTACAGTAACAGTAGTAAATGCAGGGTTTTTTTTTTAATTCAACTCTTACCTTTCACAGTGACTTTGGATACTACCGTGAAGAGAACAGCTCGGTGTGTGTGGAGCAGCCAGATCTGCAAGGCAAGGTGCTGGAGTTCTGTCTGCATGGTAAAGAGGAGCAACTGCTGTCCAGTGGGTAAGACTTTAGGCTCAGACAGATCTGTGTGTCACTATTATTGGTTTGAAGTTTGCCAGTTATTTAAAAAAATGTGGTCCTATCAAGAGGCAGTGCTTCTGTGACAAAATGTGTGAATGTGTTGACACACTCCTTTGACCACTGATGCCACATGACTTTTCTGTAACCGTCTACTCTGCCTGATCATTTCTAATTGCTGTTAATTGTCTTGAGCTGAGTCTTACCTGAACAGTGATGGTAGTAATGGGTGATTTTTACAGTAGTAGTAACAAATACTTCTCTTTTCTGTGTAGTCTGTTTATTTATAGTATTAAAAGTGTGGGTCCTATTCACTATTAAAACGGATAAATTTGCAGTCTGTTTATTTATAGTATTAAAAGTGTGGGTCCTATTCACTATTAAAACGGATAAATTTGCATATTTTGTACAAGGCAGTCCCCACTATCACGTTGTGATAGAAAGCATGACAAAGCGCTTGTCAGTGAGAATGAGGAAGTCACGAAGAGAGCAGTCAGAGCAAGCAGCCGATGGAGAGAGTGGTTTTCATGTTTTTACTGAGGAAGAACGCAACGAAAATGTTTGCCTCACTGCACACAAACTGACTTCACAGAAAGTGAATAATTGTTATACAGTAGATTTAAGAATCAAGTTAAACCATTATGTACCATGAGTAGGTTAGACTGTTGTATTGAGATTGTTAAAGATCCGTACAGTCTCTATTTTTATTCCTATTTATCTCATCTCACAATGAGCATTTCTTTGTCTGTCTGCATTGTTTACTGCCTGTTTATGTTTATTTTGCATTGTTTGCACTGTTTATTGCTTGTTAATACTGTTTATTTTGTTATACTACACAGCCTTATGTTGGTTTACTGTTTGCTTGCTGTTGCCTTGCATTGGGATATGTGCATGCACATTGAGAGCCTCTGTATCAGTCAAATTCCTCGTGTGTCCGACACACCTGCCCAGTAAAGCTGATTCTGATTTAATAATTGAATTGAAAAGGTAAAGAATTAACATTCAGTAAAATGACTGTTTGTTTGGACTCGTGCTTTTAAAAGAACCAGTGCCTTTTTTTTTTTTTTTTTTGTAGCTGTTTGTCAGTGCTGAAACAAACAGCTTTGTGATCTCTTTAAATGTCAACATTTTATGTTTGCTATTAAGTCAACTGGGGCAATAAATAGAAGTAAATGATTAATATTTATAAATAATAATAATAATTATTTCACTGTTTTTCATGGTTATCAGTCCCACTATCATGCACTGTTGAGTTAGCGATGATAAACTCAAGTGCTGTTGGTCCACAGCTATAGGAAAATCCCTGGAGATAAATGTGAGGGAGGAACGATGCCTGAGCGTAAGGAGATCGACCTCAGTCAGAGGTGTGTGAGTGACCGGGTGGGCCCAGAACCTATGGTTAGTACCTCTGCCTACAAAGACTTCTTGAAAATGTTCTGGATGTTTACCTACAGTATATCTATTCCTGTACTACCTTTTTTTTTTTTTTTTTTTCTTTTTTTGTGTTTTTTTTTTTTTTTTTTTTAAAACAGACAGGCACAGCGTCCAAGTCTGTACCCATTGTGATAATGGTCATCATCATCATGCTGTTGAGCATTGCAGCAGGAGCTTTCTTTGTCAAGAAATATGTCTGTGGTGGCAGGTTAGTATATATCTCTCTGGCCATATTCATTTTCTAATTCATAGCCCAACCATGTCTAGAGGACAACATATACAGGACACAAACTGTATATTGACCAGGCACATAGCCAGCGATGGGCCTAGGTCGCACTGACCCACCCACACTGTTTCTCAGCCCACCGTGCAAAGTTTCATCATAACTGTGGAAAGTATAGCTCTAAACTATAGAGGTAAGGTGTCAAGAGACTGACCCCGTGGCTACACTGAAAGCGCAAAATGTAACATCTGGCGTGCATCTCACGTGAGGTTTGCATACATGTGTATGTGTGTGTTCACTTGCATAATGGAAGCACTTGGTGAACAAAAAGCACGTAGAGGAGCCTACGGAAGCTCCTCTGAAAAGGGAAAACTGTGGCCCAAAACCTCAACAAATAAACAATTTGTAAATGGGGTATTACTGGCTACATTTGAAATGGATGTATATGTACAGTATATCAAACCCATAGTAAAACAGCAAATAAAAACTGCACACACTTTATAAAGAACTGCATGTTCAGTGGGATGTTGTAAAATCATAAACATAAGACAGGCCTATTGTTGTTGCAGAAACATTTTGCATTTCTTTAAACGGGTTATGCCCTACTGGTTTAATATGCAGTGTTTATGGGAAAATACGACCCATCCACTTTCGTACTCGCCCAGTCAAATTACAATTTCTGCCTACACCATTGATCTAGACTGAAACTGAGTTAGCACTTTTCTTTTACTTTCATCGTTGCTTCTTCATTCATGGTGTTTCTGTATGTTTCAGATGATTTTAAGTGACCTGACAGTATTTTGAATGTGCCCTACAGGTTCTTGGTTCACAGGTATTCTGTGCTGCAGCAGCATGTCGAGGACAATGCTGCAGATGGAATGGATGACCCTCTCGAGACCAACCACGTTCAAAATGGCAAGATAGAGTTTCATGATGACTCAGATGAGGTACGGTGGATATCTTTCTCTTTCATAATAGATCTAAGAAAGAAACATGGGTAAAGACTGGGCCATTGTTGTGCAGTAGAAACGGTGGCATGATGGTGTGTATCTTTAAAGCTTACTACTGGCTTGATTGTACAAATCAGTCAGAATCATGACTGTGGGAAGGGACAGCTACAACTTGGTCACTTGAGTAATTTGACAATTAGGGGTGTGTGAAATCATAACTATAATGGTTTTGTGTTGGCTGTGACTTCATTGGTATGCTGTTTTCTTTTCCTCTCTTGTACAGGACATGCTTGAATAGCGGGCACAACCAGTTCTGCAACTGAGCAACAGGTTTCCAGTCCACACTGTAGCCAAACACCGTACCTGTAACTCTTCTGTTTCCAGCTACTTTCACCTTCTAGCACAAACTTTGGTCTTAGCTACCAGTGGGTCTGTGTCATGCTGTCATCTAAGTATAATGAATGTATGGAAGCTTTGTGGGACTAATGGAGAGTTGAGCTAAGAAGGAAGTCTTGTAGTGTTGTGCAGCAGTTATTGATTAAGCTTGAATCTCCAAATTATTTTAGGTAATGGAGGACTGGTGCAGTAATTTGGACTGCTGACAGTCTTTAATAATGGGGTTTGAAGTGAAGCTACTGTATGTTGTATAAATCCTCTACCACTGGACCATAGGTCCTGCCTCTCTCTTTATTTTATTGTAGATTTAACCCACCCCCATTGATGCTCTTCTCCCCTTTTCTCATGTACTTGTAACATAAATGTCGTTGCCATTTTGGTTGCGTTAAAAAGGTAGCTGCTGGGTGTTTTGTTAATAACTCTCCCAAACTACTCTATTCTTAATTCCTGCTTTAAATGAAGTATGGATTTGTAAGAGTGTGGCCCAGACAGCCAAGAGTAGGTACATTTTAGGCTTGGCACTGATTTGTAAAACCCCTTATTTGGAATACACACCTACATATTTATGGTTTCCTGTGGGCAGAATAATAAGTCGCATATGAAGGGTTCCATTTGCATTAGGTTTGATAACGGTAACATGTTTTAGATTCACTATATTGTCTATACATGTTCAATAATCTTATTGGCACAATATCTCTGTCTGCAGTTAGTCCATTTGATGAATGGAAATGCTTTTGCATGAAACCCATTGTGGGTCAGTGTATAGGGTGGTGTTTCAGGATGGGTTTATTCAGAAACTGTCTGCAGGTCTAACAGCTTAAAAGCACAAGGTTCTTTGTATGCTAAGAGTTTGTAGTTTAATATGTTCCTACATGTGTTCGAACAAACATTTGAACTTAACAAGTGACAAATTGTGGTTCAAAGATGTTCATAAATGACAATTATATTTTGATAAGATCTAAAAATATTTTTTACAGCACATTCATATATCATTAATATAATTTGACAAACACACGAGCAATGTGGGAAACAAATATGTAAATGTTGTAGTGGATAATGAACACTGTAGCCTAATTGGTTGTGGAAGCAACACTGCATGAGAGTTTTTTTGTGTATTGGCATCTGATGTGATGCAAACGATATAAAATAACAACAGGGTTGCTGAAAATCTCCCATCAGTTTTTTT